TAAATTCAGTTGAACGCAGAAACGAGTATTTCCAATATGTTGCAACAGTGTGAACGGGCAATCCAAGCTCCACGTTTCCCTCTCGAAATTTTTGAATTAACGAACTGTTTTCTGGGATTTTCCATTGCATTCCAAACTCTGTTAGCATCTTGGCAAACATAAAATCACGGCCTCCCGCACGTGTATTGCCTCTTTTATCCATCCACACATTTTGTTCGCGAAGAACGAATTCGAATCGGAAACCCTTCAGCTGCTGACTACGACTGAGCAGAGGTACATTTCTGGTGTGTTCGTCAAATTGTCCCTCACAGAATTCTGGCAGATACAGGTATCCGTTGCGCCATTTGTTCTTCACCATGTGAAACGTGTCCAAGTCCAAGAGAGTCACATACGGAATGTGTGCATCCGGAATTAGTTGAATCACCCTGGTGGTACCAAGCACTTGAAAGAACGCTTTAAACACTTCCTGCTGCGCACCCATAGTCAAACCGCGGGTGCTCGTGTACACAATGATGAAAATTCCAAGGGGATTTGTTCCTGGTACGTTCATGAAGTAGCGACTGATCAGCCAAGGATCCATATCCTCAGCTTCGATAGACACGACATGGACATATCCACGTGAAGTGTTGTTGAGTGCCGTCACTACTGGGATGAGCGCAGCCTGCACTTGAGCTGTGATACTCCACGGGCGAGGTAGATCTACAGCTGCCAAGACTGTTGCCTGTGGAGAATGGAACATTAAGAAATAAGACAGTTTAAAATAGTGTAATATCTACAAAGGAACGATTTATATTATTATAATGAGTCTTAAATGGAATGCTTTTGTATATTTTTTATTAAAAAGACATTGTGATATTTTATTTGTCAATGAATTTAGGAATTTAGATCTTAATGAGCTTAGACGGTCTGAGTGGATGTTTTAAAAGCAAGTAACGTGCACCCTCGTATTTCATACTGCTCTATAGCCACCGAAAGGAATTATTTTTGCCCCTTACCTTATTGCAAGTATACAATTATACAACTGCTGGGGTGGCAGATTCTGAGTCAGTCGTGTTATGCAGAAGTGTACCCACAGTGTGCATGAAGTTCGTGTCTGGTTTTTTTTGCTTCAAATACATTAATTACAGTTCTGTGGGTATTATAAGGTGAAATTCGTTTAATGATCTGTTTAATTGAACTGGTTTGAAAAAATCAAGTCGTCATTTCACATCAAAAGTGTGCTAATCAACCCGATAACTTATGTTACGTTTGTGGAAGGTTTACACCCAAACTTCAAAGGAAAAAAATCGATAAAATTATAAAACTTGCATATTTGTTATTCTTTGGCTGTCGGGTGAGTTGTATATGGTTTCTTGCCAGAGAGAGTAAACAGATACAAGAGTAAGTGACAAGTACAAAAGCATATTTAAGCAATTTAAATTTAGGAATTTCTCCTTCTAAGATGTCTCTATTTTGTTACACGTATATGCGTATTGCATTTTTAACTTGTTTTGTCTCATATGAAGCACGCTCATAAACGTTTGTAGTAATATAACCGAAGTATCAATGTGGACATTACTATAGGATTTTGTTTATTGCATGTACTAAATATGTTCATATCTTTTTAACCCTGCTTGATAGAAACTTTTTATAATGATTTCGAAATAAGCGTGATTGTTTGCTTTAAAATTACCTACTTTCATCCTGAAGGCATGAAAAAATTTATTCCTAGTGTTATTTTCATGTTTTGGAACATTTTACTGTAAACCACCGTCCGTAGTTTCGTTATCGTTCGCAAGAATTTCCGCAGGAACTTCACAAAATATTTTACTTTCCCGTATACGTTTTTTTTTAAACTTGATTGGCCACATTGGACCACTTGAGTCTTTCCGCTTCACTTTTGTTCATGGTCGACTGTCGAAGGTATCACCTTGAGGTGAGGATAAATCCTCGAGTTACAATTCTGAATGTTATTCAGAAAGGTGATAATGAGAGATGGAGGATGATGGATGATAGGGGGTGAAAGGACGAACACAATACAACTATGCCCGAGGCGGGACTCGACCTTTCGGGTACGACCGCGATCTTTCGGTACGAGATCGCTACGGCACTACTGCCTTAGCGATCTCGGCCACCGGATCGGCTTATGCGTATTTATTATACGGAGTAATATACGTATTATACGGAAAGTTATGTAATGCTTCGATTGAGCGAGCAGCGCCCGTGCAGTGAAGATCACGATCTCGTCATTGCCACGCGTACTGGGCGAGCAGCATACCACAAACTGTCTTAGAATTTATTTCAGTTTAGATAATGTTACAGTTCTCTGAAACAGCGTA